TTCAGCGATTTGATCATTTGTTTGGAGTCTGTGCTATATATATTGTTGTCCAGGCCAGCTGAGCTCTGCTTCCCACATGGGAGTACACACACTGTACACACACATACACACACAGCTGAGTTGCCGATGTTCTAATTCATGGGTACAACAGTCTGACTAAATTATGTAAACTGGCAATTAATATTTCATAGAATATGAGCATAGGAAAACACATCGCAAAATGTCCTGTCACTACTAACTACAACTTCTAACTTCAAATAAAAACACAACTTCAGTGGAAAAATGTCTGCACTTACAGATCTGGCAATGATAATGAATCCCAATTAGATTCACTTATGTTCTATCATAACACAGGTTCTTTATTGAAAGGTGTGGGGAGGAATTTTATATCTCATTTGGCTCTACCAGTAAAGCCGGGGACATTTACTCATGCAAGCTAAATTAACCTAGCTGTTTACATGATGTAACGTTTCAAATGATATTTCTTCTTTATTGCTAATAAACCTGGAGAGTTATACCTATGATCACAATCCAGTGCCCCGATTCTCATATTAAGTTAGAGAACAGCCGTCTTATCTCTTTTGCTTCCCCACACGTTTGGTCTGTCTTTCGTACACGGACAGCATCTGCCGGGTCTTGCCCATCTTGACACCATTTTGAGAATGACAGCTGAGTGGGAGGGTGCTCAGATGATGACAGAGGAGGCTTCCAAAAATAGCCACAGTCCACCACAACTTTCTCTAGAAATAGCCACAAATGGATGTGAAAGCGAGGATATATAATTTAAAAATCCTGCATTTGACTTGGGGAAAATCAAACCAACCTTTTTTGTGACTGAGGGTTGTGATGTCTTCTGAGGTTTTTTTATTTTCCTTGAAATTTTTAAAGTAGTGGCAGCAAATAAATGCAGATATCCAGACTGATACAGGCAAAGAAATCTCATAATAGCAGATTTTAATTGAAAGAAATGTGACAACAAAGCCTGAATCTGCTCAGTGCTGAAGGACAGCCTCAGCCAGACAGATTGCTACAAAGGGCTTGAATATAAGCAGAAGGATTTAACCTAAATCTCCGGGGCAGCACAGCTCCCATCATGCTCCATGTGATATGGCAGTACTTTCCTCATTCTGCTTTAATGACCTCTAAGTGTGCTCTTTGGTTAAAGTAATGCATCAGATTGTCTGTTTATATTTCCCATCGCTCTCCTCGGCATTCCTTCTACTGAATTTGCCTCCTCTGTATCCATGGTGTCGCCCGTACCCT